CCCAGTCTCCAAGACTGTGTAGTGTGGGATGCATCTTGACTCCCACCTTGCTGGAGGCTGTGACTCAAGTCACCACCGTTAGTTTCCTTAAGGGCATATATGTGAACGTTCTGGGAATGTTCGCTCTCCTGCTCAGGCCTTGCATTTCGTTCATCATCATCTCATCCTTGGATTTGGGACAGCAGCACGTCGGTCATCTGACCCACCAATGTGGGCTCACCAGCCCCTGCAACCACGCGAGGAGAGACATTCTTCCAGACCTACCCACAGACTCGGGACTTGCCAGCCTCCCAGTCTCCACCACCATGTGAGCCGCTTCCCTGATAGTTTGCGCATTCCGTGAGATGTGACGGTGAAATACAGAACTCTAAGACAGGACGAAGAGTACTGAAGGGTGCAGGAGGAGTTGGTATTAGAGATGCTGGAGCAGCACAGCAACTTTCTGAGGAGCCATCACTACGGAAGTAGATTGCCCCATCTTCCTTCCGAGGAGTGGCTGGGGGGTTTGAACTGCCAGCCTTAGCAGTCAGATGTCTTAGGCACTATGCCCCCAGGGCTCCCATATATATGCATATATTTGTATATATTATCAATGAAGTGGTGAAGAGATAGAAATTTATATGTGTGTGTGTGTGTGTGTGTGTGTGTGTATACTTCACTAGTTTTGCTTCTCCAGAGAACCCAGCCTGAGACAAATGAACAGTAGCTAAAGTAAACAGAAGAAATGATGACATAAAAGAGCTGAACATAAGCTTTCAAAGGTAAGCTTGAGATGACAAAGTAAAATAAAACAATTAAATTTGTAAAGACCTGGAGTTAGAAAATCAAAAGGGAAGAATACACCTGGCATTTCTCAAGCTGAAAGAACTGAAGAATAAATTCAAGCCTTGAGTTGTAATATCAAAGGATTTTATTAGCCACATATTGTATGATGCAGGAAGTATCAAAAGAAGATGGAAGGAATATACAGAGTTACTGTACCAAGAATTGGTCTATGTTCAACCATTTCAGAAGCTAGCAAATGAGCAATAACTGACATGATTGAAGGAAGAAGTCCAAGCTGCAGTGAAGGAATTGGAAAAAACAAGGCTCCGGGTATTGATGGAATACCAGTTGAGAGGCTTTAACAAATGGATGCAATGCTGGGAGCACACACTGGTTTATATCAAGAAATCTGGAAGACAGCTATCTGGCCGACTGACTGGAAAAGATCCATATTTGTGCCCATTCCAAAGAAAGGTGATCCAACAGAATGTGGAAATTATCAAACAACATCATCAACATCACATGCAAATAAAATTTTGCTGAAGTCAATTCAAAAAATGGTTGTAGCAGCACACCAGATTGTAGGTAGAGAACTTCCAGAAATTTAAGCTGGATTCAGAAGAGGAGGTGGAATGAGGCATATCATTGCTGATGTCATATAGATCTTGGCTGAAAGGAAAGAATACCAGAAAGATGTTTACTTGTGTTTTATTGACTATACAAAGGCCTTCCAGCAGTGTGGATCACAACAAATTATGGATAATATTGTGAAGAGTAGGAATTGCAGAACACTTAATTGTGCTCATGAGGTACGTGTACCAAGAGGCAGTCATTCAAACAGAACATGGGGATAGTGCATGGTTTAAAATCGGGAAGGGAGTGTGTCAGGGCTGTATCTCTTCACCACACTCATTCAGTCTCAATGAGATGGACTGACACAGTTGCCTCAGCAATGGGGCCAAGCATAGCACTGACTGTGAGGATGCCACAGGCCCGAGCAGTGTTTCCTTCTGTTGTGCACGGGGTCATTATAGGTTGGAACCGAGTTGCCCGCAATCTACTTCCGTAGTGATACTGCCTCGGAAACCCAAGGAGGGGTCGCTATGAGTAGGGTCCGACTCGATGGCACATAACAACAACAACAACAATGGTAACATCAACAATCCATGTAGTTTGTATCTAAAATGTTTACTGTGTAACAGTATATGCTTTCAATCATAGGCAACTGCATACAATCTCATGTATTGTGCATCTCTTGAGTACTATCGTAGTATCTCTCTGTTTAATTTTCTTTCAAAAACATTACCATGCAGTTCATCATGGCTGCCAAATATAACAGAACCAGTGTTTGTTAACAGCAGCAGCAGGAGGCCAAGAAGTATTGATTTGGAGGTGAAACAAGAGGTTATCAACCCTTCCATGACCCATGGGACATATACAGTCCACCAACATTTTCAACCTCTCAGGTTTCTTGGGAAGGTACTATCCCTGTTGTAGCACATGCCGAGGCAGGACGGAGACTTGTAGAACTGTGTGAAGAAATGTGTCTCACAGCACCAATCTTACCACCAGAGTCCACTTGGGACATATGTGTCCCATATAATTATCTCAAAATCCATTATTATCTTAAAATTTTTCCCCTTGATTTCAGCATGTGTTCCATTACTGAAAACACACAGCATGAACAAAAAATTCAAAGCAGAAAATACTTCAGTCGTGAAAGGGTTAAACAACATGCAGGTAGTAAATTAATGAATGCCATTGCTCCCGATTTAGGCATGTCACAGGATCTTTGAAAACAAAGAAAATTCTCTAAGATGTTAAAGGATCAGCTCCATTGAAAGCTGCAAGGCTAACAAAAAATGCTACTATATCAGATACGGAGAAATTACTAATGATACAGATTGAGGACCAAACACAAATGTGAATCCCTCTCAGCACGTGGATGATTACTGCTTGGGCACAATGTTTGTTCAAGAAGCTTAAAGGAAACGCAAGAGCAGACGACGATATGGTGGTTGCACAACACACAAACCACACAACAGGCTATTTCACAGAATGTATTGTGGATGTTAAGCAACGTATGACTGCATTTCATTT